GTGGATGAGTCTTCGACGTGTTTGTTGATGACAATTACAAGAAAGGATTGACAATCATCTGTTGTTATTTTGCAAGCTTAAAAAGTACTAATATCTTATGACTCGTCAATGTACTCAGTTATGACAATGGGGTGCAACTAGTCAGACCTTTCGGTACTAGAGTGGTACTATCGACTCATTGGGATATCCCGTCAATTTGACAGTGTCGCAGTAACAATACTATCTAGCATCAGTACTGTACCACTATTTTATGCTTTAAGTGATTTGAACTCAGTTTCTCCAACATCCACAGTTTTTGCTATTCTTTGGATCATCGAGGAGATATTGGGAACTGAATTGAAGTTCGTTTCTGTATGGTCATTTCTAAATGTGGCGACAATCTGTAGAATAGGACACGATGGTTTCGTTTTCAAAACGCAAAGCTGAGAACAAGTTTTCAGTTTGACGTTGGATTATTTGAACCTATATCACCCGTTTTACACAGCACTCTCTTGATGGTTTCCTCACCGAACGATGGCAATATGTTGGAGACGATATTTCTTGCAAGGTGATTTTTGGTTGACTCATTTTTTGAGAATTACAAAGAGAATTCCTATTATTCTTATATTTGGATAAAAAACAAAACAATCGACTCGTCAGACTCTTGCACTTTCACACACATCCTATTAAGGATAATGAAATCAAGGTAAAAATTTTTGTGAATGATTAGTGAAACATTAATGACCAGCGGATGTGAGAGAAAACATCTTCTCAAACTTGCCATTTCTTGTTAAATGTTCTCTAGGCGTCACATACAATTTGTGCTTGTCCATGTCAATGTAGAAGAGAGATTGGTTGTCTTCGAATTTGGGAAATTCATGTCCTGAGTGTTTTAACTTGAAGTGTCGAATAATATTGATGAGCGACATGATGACTTCAGTTTTTGCTACTCGAGAGCCTGAATTCATTTCCAATTCAATTATGTTCGAAATTATGAATTAAAGCATCGCTGATCATCATACGATTTGCAAATGCATCTCACTTACCTGGGCATTGTCTTGCTCCCAAACCGAATGGATTTGTCACATTCACATGGTGTTTGATCGCAAAGGTAGAATCCTGATTGTAACGCTCTGGAATGAATTGTGTGCAGTTTGGAACATACTTCTCTGTAAACGCTGGATTTTCAAATAAAATGACTTGAGTCTGTTTTGGGATGGAATATCCTCCAAGCGTAATGTCATTTTGTAAAAATCTTGTACTGGCCACATATCCAACATGATTCAGTCTCATACTCTCGCTGACAAAATGTTTTACAAGTTTCAACTGCTTGAAATGAGAAAATGTGACATTTAAACCATTCTCAGAAGTAATTTCATCAATCGTTGGCTCTCCAAAAACTTCTAAACACTCCTGATACAGCTTTTCTTGATATTCAGGTTCGTGTGCAATTCGGAACATGAGAATGGAAATGACACGAGCCGTAATATCTACACCTGCCATGAGGAAGGAAGCGAGTACAATGGCAACCGCTTCCTCTTTTCGTTCCATGTCTTTTGCTTTCTCCTCAACCATTTCTTTAAGCCGAGGTTTCACAGATGATGGGCTCGCAAATAGTCGAATGCATGTCTGAGCTCTGCTGATACTTGTTTCGTAGGAATATTTCAAGGCTGTATAGTCCTTTGTTTTCATTACTTTGTATAAAGGAATCTGAAATGACATTTTGATTGCCAAATCCAAACTTTTCATCACATCTGAAACAAAATCTTCAAATTCAAAAGGCAGTTTTTTCAAATTTTCTCCAACCAGCTTTTCCCCTAGGAATATCTTCAATACGGCATTGAAGGTGTACTGTGTAATAAATTTCCAAGTATTCACTATTTCATAATTTCCATTTTCGTTGATACTCCGTAAATGTCCAGTAATTAGATTCCTTAAAAAGTAACTATTCAATTCGGTTAATTGTGGCAATGAAATATTTTCAAGAAAATCTGGTTTTAAAGCAACATTGTATAACTTTCTCATTTGTTGCCAATCTTCATGACTCTCCAATTCAATAGGGGTGAGAATCATTCCATTCTCCATCTTGATTTGCCTCAGCGGATAGGCAGGAGCTCTCCCCTCATCTACACGAGCGAGCTCAATATGCAGCTCAGGTTTGGCCAATATTAACATTCGTTTTCCAAACACATTCAATCGTACCATATCACCATAGTTCTGCACCAAATCCACAAAATACTGATTAATGTTTTTTGAATGACGAGCGAGTGAGATGCCATTGCCAATCAAAGGAAATCCTTTTGGTCCGGGTATTTCATGAAATGATTTGACGAGATTATTTGTTTCTTCAATCCTACTACTACTTGTTTCAATATTCGTCGTGGTAGGTATGGATGTTGCAGTTGCTGATACAGATCGTCGGGGACATTCAGATTCCACCAAAGGCTTATTTGCCTCCAAAAAGCCTCCACTAGGATGTACATGGTAATTCTTCGAGCATTGCTTCTCTCGAAACAACCCCCGATGGAACGATCCACGGGATTCATGATGAGCGAGAATATCTCCATTTCTTTCTGTACGGATTTCAAGAGAAGCAATGCTCGAAGAGAGTACATGTCGGAGTTTTCGCATTTTTTGTATTTCATTTTCGATCGCAATTTTCTTGATTTGGAAATTTCAAAAAGTATGTCCATGGAACGATAAAGAGAGAATATTTATGGGAGAGAGTATTGTTGTTGAGAAAGTCCTTCTTGTGAAGGGTGTTTTCTTTCAGAGAATTCCAATTCAAACTTCTCATTGCATGCCAAGAATTCGTTCAAGTTTCCACTCTGTGACCACATGCTGCCTCTTGTTGCCAAACAAGATTTAGGAACCATTTGTATTTGATAGTTGCATAGCAAATGAGCCAAGAAAACCTTTTGTTCCAACATGGTAAATCGATCGCCAGGACAGGCCCGCTCTCCAGCTCCAAATGGCAGATAGGAATAATCTCGTGTGACACTTCGACGATTGAGAAATCTTTCTGGATTGAAAGTTTCAGCATCGAGACCCCAATATTTGATATTGTTTTGAATTCCTTTGAGTGAGAGGAGAATGTGACAATTCTTTCGAATTTTGATGCCGTCCACAATTTTGCTTTTCTTGGAAATTCTTGTGAGATAACCCACAGGTGGATGTAACCTCAAATTTTCACGAATGACAGAATCCACGTAGGGCAAACGATCAAGTGTGGAAACATCTTCAAGAGATTGTAAAATAAATTCACAATAGCCATCAAACGTTTCACTGTTAAATCTCTCAGGAAATGCATTTCTCAACTCATCATAGAGCCTGAGTTGTACTCGTTCATTAAGAGCCACATTCAACAACAGGAAACACAATGAAGAAGCTGTCTTGGAATGGCCTGCCACAAGAAATAATTTCGTATTGTCTCTCACATTGGCATCTGATACGGAGAGTTGACTCTCATTCAATTCGAGCTTGTTTTTCAAGAGAGACGAAAGAGGAAGAGGATTTTCAATTCTTCCTCTTATTTCGGTCGTTGGAGGTGCATCTTCACGATACGTTGGATTTCTATTCTGATTGGCCTCAAATAAAAAGTCCAACGAACTCTCTAAATTTGGTTGAACATTATCAATGACTCGGCGATCGACATGTTCCAGTCTCTTCTTATCAATGATGGATTCTACAAACTTGTCGATGGTGGTAAATGACTTGAGCATTTTCAAATTGTCAACAATGGGCAAGAATGAATATAACACTCCTCCTAGCAATCGTTCCACACTATTCATAGATTTGATAATGTAATCTAAGGATTTTCGAGCTCTGAGTTCTTCTTTAGAACTCGACGATGGATCCAAATAGTTAAAATCACAATCCAAATACGATTCTCCAATAAGATCCATGCAAAAACATGACATGACATCAGAAATTGCAAGTCTGAACGATTGAGAAGTGTTCATTGAATTGGTCTTTGTCTCACTCGTGGAGGTTGCATTCTCTCGAATCATTGAGGCCATTATTGACTCATCTCGATTGAGGCAAAACCTTTTCAAATTTGTCACACAAGCATTTGCCTTCTCAGTCATAATGTTCCAATATTTTCCAACATGATGAAAGGAAGGATCCAATACCAATCGATTCACTTCCCACATATCTCCATTTAACATGAATATACTATTTCCCAATAATTGTTGATAAGTGCGTGTTTGAATGGAGAGGTCCTTCTCGAAATGATGAAAATGATCAATGAGAATGGATTTGGCAGATTGAGGAGATGAAAACACCAAAGTTGGAAATATGCCTCTGTAAAAGAATAGAAAAGGTTCATGATTAAATTCTTTGCAGAGCGTGAAGAGTTTCTCCGAGAGTGGAATGCTTCGATTAAAAAGGATCAATGCTAAGGATTGCCACATAGAGACCACATTGGAGATGGATTTTCGAGTTTTTACAATCATGATCTGTCCAATGCAATACTGTTCATAGAATTTGGTAAGAATGACAATGAGAAGGAAAAGACCCATCAAGAGGTACAAGAGATTGGTGGTCAGCATGTTGAAAAAATCCATAATGATGATGATGATGGTGAATGTTCACAAACTTAAGTACTCAAGTAAAAGGATCTTCCTCTCTAAAACAACGTAGATGTAATCGAGGTGTGTTTTTCTTATTGAAGACAGCAGAGAGTTTGAGGTTGTGATGGTTTACGTTGGAAAATTTGTATTTGGACAGCAAGTATTTTAGTACATTTTCCATAAATGGTTTATCAACACGAATTCAACCAATTTCAAAACCTACCAATCAATTACCATTGAGGTAATAATTTCTTTTTACAACTGTTGTGGGTGTTTTCCGTCAAGAACAAATTCATGAAAAGAGATATTTATGTGCAAATTTCATGAAATACACTACTCTTTCAATCCACACACATTTCAATCAAAAGAAAGATCCAAAATATTCAGTAAAATAAATAATAGACTGTTAAATGATGAATTCATTCAATACTTGATGAATACACCAAATGGCATGGCCAATACAGTTGCAAGAGCCAAGTGTCGTCTTGCGAATCCCTGTCCAACAATACTCAAATACAGTATCACAAAAATGCACAATTCAATGAATGCAATCCACCAACCAAAAGTCAAAAACCATATCAAATTAATCAATACAATAAGAGCTGAGCTTTTCTCTCGTTCAAATAAATTATTTCTCACGCTTTTCGCGCTCGTCGATTGAGTATTGAGACCCTCATGCTCGCTATACAAAGTGAATGGAAATAGAGATAATCTGCAAACCTTCAATAGCTGTCTATAACATGGAAGACAAGCTATAGGACAAAGAAGAGCCCACAACAGTATTGACATGGAGAAATTGCAAAACGTCAGCCATCCAAATCCCAAGAAAAACCATTTGAGTTTCAATCCTCGATCCAATTCTGAATTTGTCTTTTTCGGTGTATAATAGTTGCTCGTTTGGTTATTTTGATTATTTTCATCGTGATGATTGTTATGGACATCGGAAGTGACAGAGATGATGACTTGGTCTTGAGACATTTTTTTGATGGTTGGAAAGGAAACACTGCATGTCCTATTGCAAAGAAGGTTCAAGTCTGCACATCTCCTTTCTGACCTGTTTGGCCAATTCTTTTCTCTCTTCCCTCTCCAGAATTCTAGCTGTGTGTTCCTTCTTTGTGAAAAAGTCCATCCAATCTTGTTCCAACCCTGTATCGGACTGCTCGCTGATTGGAATATCACCTGGAGTTCTTGGCAGCAAATGAACATGAAGATGAGAAATCGATTGACCACTCAATTCTCCTTCCTGAATCAAGAATTCAACAGAATCGGTCTGATGAAGTGATTTGAGAGCAGTCACCACACGTTGTGTAAATTGAACAAAATCTTGAGCATGAGAGACTGGAATGTCGGAAAACCGAGTGAAATGTTGTTTGGGAATGATTAATGAATGGCCTGGAAAAACGGGTCGAATGTTATACAAGGCGACAAAGTGTTCCGATTCTTCAATCAGTCCTTCTGCAATCACATCAGAATTACAGAACACACAAAACTGGTCAATTAATTTCATGTCAATGAGTGGTTGATAATATTTGGATTCTCGGAGCATGGTTTGAAGAAATTCTTTAGGAGCATCGTGAGGAGGAGCTGTTGAAATCGATGACATGGTCCTTCTCCTCGTGTTTGGCTCCAATGAAGTTTTCCGATCTTGATGTTGTTCATGAACATTGGATGAACGAGAGTCTACTACTACTCCAATAGAATTCGCATTACAGTTATTCATGGTCCGTTCTGGGAATGGATGATGATCCCGTGGATGCAATTCACGAGATGAAGACATGACTTGAACGGAAAGTTGTTGAATAAATTTCCGAATGACTTCATCCAACGCACGAGCAGTGGTGTGATGATTAAGGCAGAGAGGCCAAATTTGGCGCATTTTTATTGATTCTCTTATCGATTTATCGGCAACACATGATGAAATCATTCTCATATTTTTATTAATCAATTAATATCAAACAAATGAAAAGAACAACAAACCATGATCAAAAAGCTCCGAATTGCCAGGACCGAGCGAGTCTGATTTTAATATCTTTCGTTTTTAATAATGATCATGTTGGCTATAATCTTCGGAGATTAGAATTATCATTAAAAAAGAAATTTTCATTTCAACAACTCGGAAAAAAGAAATGGCTTGAAAATCGTGAATTGAAATATGAAAATTTCTTTCCTGTTGAATATATGAATGACAAGGAATTCGTATTGAACCACATCAAAAAGTATGGTTATGGATTGAAAAATGCATCCACACAATTGCAACAAGATCGAGAGTTTGTGTTGAAAGTGGTTCAACAAAAGGGAGATGAATTACAATTTGCAAGTCAAAACATTCTTAATGACAAAGAAATGCAATTGGCAGCGGTAAAACAGTTTCCAGATGCATGTGTATTTTTTTCATCCTCCGAATTTAAAAAAGACAATGAATTTGCTTTAAAGATGGTTCAGCAAAATGGTTTGATTTTATTATATGTACCCAATACTCTCGAGAACTATAGAGAAATTGTTTTAGCTGCTGTCAAGCAAAATGGTGAAGCGCTAAACTGGGCACACGGTAATTTGGCAATGGACAAGGAAATTGCATTGGAAGCAATCAAACAAAATAAGAAGGCTCTTCGATTTGTAGCAGAAGATTTACTTTTAGACTATGAATTCATGTTGACGGCTCTCAAATTAATATTTCCAGAATTTTCTCATTTAACAACTTTTGATTATTCAAACAAAGACATCATGATGAAACTTGTTCACGAAAATGGAATGTTACTTGAATTTGCAAGTGATGAACTCAAGAATGATCGAGATATTGTTTTGAATGCTGTTAACAATAATGGTAATGCACTTGAATTCGCATCTGATGGTTTGAAAAATGACATAGAAATTACATTTCTGGCCGTTAAAAACGCTTACTTTGCATTATATAATGTTTGTTCTGAATTTAAGAGCGACAAACAAGTTGTGTTAAGTGCTGTTCATCGACATGGATCTTCTCTAAAATTTGCATCCGATGATTTGAAGAATGACAAAGAGGTTGTGATGGCAGCTGTCAGACAAAACGGTTATGCACTTTCTTATGCGTCAGATGATATGAAAAACGACATAGAAGTTGTATTGCAAGCTGTAATGCAAAATATTCATTCAATTGACCATGCGAATGAAAGGATGAACCACGACAAGGAAATTATTTTAGAAGCGATCAAACATGGTGCTTCTGTGAAATGTGCATCTCAAACTCTTTTGAATGACAAACAATTCTTGTTAGATGCTGTGGGTGAGATTAAAAAATTTATTTCAACTCCTTCTGAAAAGAGTCACAAAAGAGATGGAATCGTTTGTTCACTCGGTCGGACTCTACGCACTCAAATTCACATTGACTCTCTCTGTGTTGTGTTTGACTGCGTGTTATCAAGTGTTGGCAGTTCTTGCCGAATTTTTCACATCAACCACCACTCTTCATAATAATAATATTCATTCGCATCTCATGGATCATCCCGAAGGTAATTTTCAAATTAAAATTAATTTGATATGAATAATAATTTTTTATATTTATAATACGGGATATTCATGATGATGGCGATAATGAATTTTATTTTCATGAAATAATGTTTTCACCAAATGATAATAATTTAACATTATGACATCTTTCGTTTCTACTACTAGACCATGAGAAGAAACATTCCTCACAATCATCAACAAACTTTTCCGATCGGAATCCAATCGATCATCATCACCGCCATCACAACATTCTCATTCTCGGAGGACGTGCTCCGGTGGCTCTCGATTATTTGAGAATGTTCTCCGAAGAAGGTCATCAAGTGCATTTAACAGAAACTCCCTATTATCGACCCATGTTTATTTCAAATTTCTCAACTCATGCCAAACATGTTCACTATTTTTCTTTTTTTCCAAATAAGGATTATTTCAAATTTGAGGATGAATTGGTGGAAATGATTAAAAAGTATTCCATCACTGTTCTCATTCCTACATGTGAGGAGGTTTTTCATGTGGGAAGAGCCAAGAATCGAATTGAAAAAGAAACTGAGTGTTTTGTGTTTTGTGAGAGTATTGAAAATTTGAAAGAACTTCACAACAAGTTTGAATTTATTGAATATATTGAGAGAGAAGTGAATGAAAAATTTAATAATAACCATGGTGATAATACTAATAATACTACTCTTTCTCAGGGTGAAAATTTGGAAAATAACAACAATTTTGAAAAGAAAAAACGGGATCGATTGGATGAAACATTCCGTGCGACTCATGAAAAACCAACGCAACAACGTCAACAAATAAGGAACATTCAATTCAAAGCTCCAAAAACACTTCTCTTATGTCAAAAAAGCACACAAGAGGAATTGAATCGATTTTGGAATGAATGTTCTGGAAAGATTGTGCTGAAACCATGTTATTCTCGATTTGCATCGGATACAATGGTCAAACCTTCGAAAGAACAAGCATTACATTTATTACATTCCCAAATTAAGGAATGCCAGTCTTCATGGTGGGTCGCACAAGAATTCATTGAAGGACAAATCCTATGTTCGTTTGGAGTTGCTACAGATGGAATTTTGCGAGCTCATACATGTTATTTGGGAGGAATTTATACTCCAAATGGAACTGATGTGGGTAGCTCTGTATATTTTGAACCATTGGAACATGAGGAAGTTGACAAAGCGATACAAGAATGGATTTCTCAATTGGTTTGGCATCGAAAATATACTGGCCAAATTTCTTTTGATTTAATTGTGACGAATTCTTCTCATGGTGGACATTCTCTGAGTCGGGAATTCTTAAGACGAAACGACTTGAGTTCGAATTGTTTCAGTAGTAGTGGAACTATAACCATTTATCCCATTGAATGCAATCCAAGAGCTACGAGTGGAGCTCATTTGTTTCATTGTGACGTGTCTCATGTGGCTGGACAAGAACTGAGAAGAAATTTCACGCAATGTTTT